GTAATATATTTTTAAAAATTTACAAAACTAAACAGCCTACAGTATTTTTACAGTCTTTATTTTACAGTTAAAATATGTTTATCAAATAAAGTCTAATGTTACAACTAATCAGGGATCCCTTTAAAATGTCTCTGAGGCAACAGACCAGTTAAATCTCCAACATACTGGTCCAAATCAACAAGTTGGTCAAACTCTATCAAATCTGTACAGAAACGTTCCTGAAAGTCTAGCTTGTCTTTTTATATAGAACAGTTTCAGTGGTGATAAAACCACAAATCTACTGTAAAATAAAACAAATTAGATTAAAGGTGGATGTGTGCTGCTGCTCTCACCTCTTCACTCCTGCGTCTCCATACTCTCATCCTCCCCGTCTCCTCCCTCCTCCAGAGCTTCGTCATCGTCCTCCTTCCTCTCCAGAGGTTTGATGTAGGCCTTCTCTGAGGGCGTGACGATCACCCCGTCCCACGTGGACATCTCTGCTGTCAGGTCTGAACGTGAGTAGAACCGGTTCATCGTGATTACAAATCAAACATCTGAGCCCCCTGTCGTCTTACAACCTGGGATTTTAATGTTCTGAGTAATAAACATGCACAAAATACTGAGAGGAAAATAAAAAAAAGGTTTTAAATTGAAGAAACGCTGTATCCTCACATCGACTGTTTCACTCAGTATTTATTGGGAACAACGAATTCAACAAGGTGAGACAATTCCAAATAACAGCAACCTCAGCGTTTTCTCAGTTGACCCAACAGAGCTGGGCTCTGCTGGTGCTCCTGACTATAAAACAGTTTACTGAAAAACAACATTTTCTTTCCTTTATAATGAAAAAGCTAATTGTCTGTTTCGAAGTACAGAAAGAGATTCTTACAACTGGCGTCTCCTTCCAGGCCGAGGATCTTCCTGTAGCCTCCATGAGAGAGAACCCTGACCAGAGTCTGAGCTGTGAAACACACCAGGTCCTGCACAAACACACACACACACACACACACACACACACACACACACACACACACACACACACACACACACCACAAATTATCATCACTGTTCTCTGCTTTCATCTGTCGCTTCGTTCAGTTGGTGTTGCTGCTGTGGGTGGTTTTTTTAAAAATAATATCTACCATAAAATACCCACTTATTCTCCTGATAAAACACTGGTGTCTCTGTTTCATCTATGTAGACCAGTGGTTCAACCTTTTTTAGACTTGTGTACCCCTGAGCCATTTTGTCATACCACTAGTACCCCTTCAGTCCAACGTAATGATGATTCTCCAAAACTATAAAGTACAACTGATTATTAAATTAAAATTAATTTAACACCCTAGAATGTTTAATTCTCAGGCATTTTATTTTGTCAACTCAAATTAAACAAAGATAAAAACGTTGCCTTGAAAGTCAATAAGTAATTACATAAATAAAACAGGTGCAGAAAACAGCAGCGTCCAAAATACATTGTATTGTCCAAAATATGTCAGAAACTCACCCAAATGAGCAAATTCCATGAGATACCATGTTTAATACTAGATGCCATTTTGTGTTAATTCTGCAATTCAATGCAATTTCCACATTATGGAAATCATAGTGCCCTACATATCCCAGTCCTATTTTTATTCTTTTTTTTTTTTACACACCTGGAGAATTTTTCCCTGTAACATGTTCGCGTACCCCTGATTGGGAACCAATGCTTTAGATCAGTGGTTCCCAAACTTTTCAGCTTCTGACCCACAAAATATCCATGGCAAAAACTTGTGACCCAAAATAGTACTGGTCTGAGTACACAAACTTTGTTAATAACTCTAAAAACAAAGGCTACACAAATTTACAGTGGGGAAAATAAGTATTTAGTCAGTCACCAATTGTGCAAGTTCTCCCACTTAAAAAGATGAGAGAGGCCTGTAATTGACATCATAGGTAGACCTCAACTATGAGAGACAAAATGTGAAAAAAAATTGAGAAAATCATTTTGTCTGACTTTTAAAGAATTTTTTTTGCAAATAATGGTGGATTATTATGGATATAATGG